ATACACAGAGTTAGACAAACAAACAAATAGACAGACACCTGGCTAGAAGGATTATCACTAGTACTTATAGATAGACAGACACGCACAAAACAGTAATTCAAACCACATGCACACACACACACACAACATACAACGCACAGGCATTGCAACTTTTATAACCAGAATAACGCAACGCAACGTTACACATATAACAACACATGTAAAACAAGCACTGAATTTATAATTAAACTGTAGACTGGTGACTACTGACAAAGAAAAATATACCGACAAAACGAAAGATAAAAATTAGCCAGAAAATAATATGAAAATAACGGTGAAACGAATATATGACTGCAGAAACACAAGTTATGTTATAAACATGCTGGATGATCGCTTTCGAAGATTTTTCACACACCACCACAGTCAATCTAAGCGTCAAATGTATCATGTGAGGGGTGGTTGATGACACAGTTATCCGATTGCCCAAGCTGAAGTAGGGACTCGAACTTGTGTTTCATTGGACTGAAAACTGTGAGTGTTTAAGCTGATGAGCCACATTTCCACTTTTACACAATAATACACCCATTGACTGATGAGTGTTGGGAGAGGGGGGGGGGTAATTATACATTGGGTTTTCACGTGACAGCTTGTTTAAACCATGTCGGAAGGTGTAAACTGCTGTCAGGTCGGGTTTCTCGGGATGGTAAAAACCAATGAGGCCTGGAGACAATTGCTGATATGGCTGATAATCTTACTCAGTGATAGCGCAGATGCATTCACCCTTTTGTAATTCGTCATTTCCAATAAAATTCTACTGTTCTTCCATGTTACTATTGTTTTTACCTCATAGTTCTGTTTATTATCTCTCTTCACTGTATTCTCTTGCTTTGTGTGCTACATGGAGAGAGTTTGGTGATTGGAACTGCTGCACATCTGTGCAAAGTGCTGTGTTGAAAGCCGCCAGTTAGATATTTCACGTCAAACAAAATATTGTCACATTATCCTGAGGAGACTCAAGTATGCATTGAATGCAAAACTCCATCTGTCGGAACCAGCTGAAAGATACAACAAATGCAAGTCATGTGCTGATTAAATGGCAACTTTACGAATCATCATCGAACAGTGTATAGAATTCATCAACTTTGAAAAGATCTTTGAAAGTGTTGATCGCGAAGTAATTGGGAATCTACTACAACACTACAGGGTAACAGTGGCCCAAATCTTTATCAACTTAATTCAGCAAGTGCAGGAAAAAACTACATTTCAAGTGATCTACAATTGATCAATGAAGCCTTTGAACAGAAGACGGGATGATGGATGGCTGGATGATATTCCTAATTGTGGTGGACTCGATCAAGCTACAGACCGCAAAAAGGAGAGTAAGAAGACGACAGGAATACATCAGACCGATAAGAAGACTATAGCAGATTTGAACATCATGGATCATTTATGTCTAATCTCACATAAACTCGAAGGTCTACAGGTGAAAACCGACAAGTTGTCAAGAGAAAAAGGCAGCGAAAAATGAACTTCAAAAAAACATAGAGAAAACAGAGGTAGTTAAAATAACCAAGCAATCAATAACAACAACAAGGACAGATCACCATCAATGAAATAAATTTGAAAGACATCACTTCCTTCATTTATCTAGCTAGCCATTATCGTTTCAAATTCAGGTTAAAACGGATGAGGATATCGAAATATCCAACAGAATCAGAAAAACAAGACAGACATTCATCACTCTGAAATTGGTTTGGAAATCTTCTGCACTCCACCAGAAGATAAACAAAACAGAATTCAGAAACTTGATAGATAACAAAAATAATTTCTGACAGACCATTGCATACTTTTATTAACAGCTGCCCCATTCGGTGACTCCAGACTGAAGATCAGATGGCTTGCCAGAAGAAATTAGGAACAGGAACTCTAAGAACTAACTAACCAAGAATCTATTGTTCAAAAATATATTCTGAAGCAAGGCGAGCTTTCATTACTCTCAAGTTTGTGTGTAGGTCAACAGCACTCAGCATGAAATATAAGATCCAGATTTTCAACTGTAATGTGAAGTCAGTGCTACTCGATGGATAAGAGACTCAGCACCGAGTCACGAAGGGCACGTCGAACAAACTACGGACCTTCATCAACACCTGTCTATGCTCAATACTCAAGATCGGATGGCCGACCAGAAAGGATCAAAAACACGGATCTCTGGGAGCAAACTAACCCAGCAGGAACCGATTGTGCAACAAATAAGCAGGAAAAAATCGATGTGGATTGCGCATACTCTGAGGAAACCATCAAGTGACATCACTAGACAAGCCACTGCTCGAGTAGAACCCGAAAGGGAAGTGGCGAGTTGGTCGTCCAAAGTTGACCTGGAGGAGGTCCATGTGAAGAGGAGATGAAAGCGTGCGGGCAGACGTAGACTCAGGTAAAAACGTTAGCACACAACCGAACTGACCGCAATGGAGACGTGCTGGCGAAGCCATATGTTCCTCAAGAATTAAAGGAAACAATAATAATAATAAGTAAATGTTCCCATCAGCTCTACTATATGGGTCAGAAACTTGGTGCATAACAAAAATCATTTCTGACAGACCACTGCAGGCGTTTATCAACAGCTACCCTGATTGAATCTATAGTAAAGATCAGATGATTCGCCAGAAAAGTGTAGGAATAAAAAACTATAAGAACCGATCAACCAAAAATCTATTGTTCAACAAATATTCTGAAGGCGATGAAGACGGATCGGACACACACTGAAAAAATTGTTGACTGACATCGTGCGCCATGCTGTTGCTCAAGTGGAACACGAATGAGAAACGATGAGCCGGGCGTGTGTCCGAGGATGAAAATGTAGATGATCATGTGAGTTGAAGGAGATTGGAGCTAATTGTCAATCATGAAATCAGCTGAAAAGAACTGTAGAAAACAGGACAAAAAGTGGAGATGTTCTGTTGAAGGCCCTATTTTCAACTCGGAACCCAAGGTAATAATAATCAAGTTTAGATAAGCGATGTCTTGTAACCCTTTTATGACCATAAGAATGCCTGTTACAAGTAGATGGTTTACAGGCTTCAAAAACACACAACTTTCAACCAATGGGTCCACGACTCGAAATCCACTTCACACGCTGTCTGTCTGTTTTCGACATAGAACTTTGCACATATATGCGGCAGTTCAAGTCACCACACTCCTTCCTTGTAGCACACAAAGCAAGAGAAGAAAGTACAAGAAAAGCATAATAAAGATAGTAAGCAGAGGTGTGATACAAAGGAAGAGTAATAACGAATAACAAAACAGTTTCATTGGAAATCATAAGCCACTGAGAACGATTTTGAGCCATGTCACCAATTGTTTCCAACCATTGGTTTTTACCGTCACGAGGACCCCAGCCTGGAAGTCTACAACTTCCTACATGACTGGCTTAGACCAACTGCTGTGGATTTCATTGACTGATGCCAAGTTTTCGTTTGACCGCCGCTAGCTTTTTTCCAGCCTGACCCTATATCCGCTAACATTGCTCGTCGAGGAAGGCGATGACTTGGCAAGCGTAACACATGTCCTAACCATCTCAGTCTTTGTAACTTCACGACTTCGTCGATTGATTTCCCCTGTTTACCTAGAACTCGACGCCTAACCTCCATGTTGCTCACCTTATTATGCCACTTTACACGGGAAATAGAACGCAGGCACCTATGATCAAAGGCAGCTAGTCTTTTCATGTCTTCCACTCTCAGTGGCCAGGTCTCACAACCATAAAGGAGGACGGAGCGGACTGATGAGCAGTACACCCGCCCTTTGGTCGATAGTCTGATATCTCGTCTACGCCAGAGTCGGCGTAAACTGGCAAATGCGAAACGAGCCCCCTGTATCCGTGCTGAGATTTCGTCAGAGATCAACCCGTTGGGGCTGATGGGACTTCCTATTTCTAATCTAGGAGTCGGTGTAGTCCAGTCCTGTAACATCATCTTGCATTTGGCGGGAGCGAATCGCATGTCAAACCTTAGTAGATTGCAGCTCAAGGTGTTTAGAAGACTCTGAATTTTGTCAGCGTCCTCGCCTAGAAGGACTATATCATCTGCATATTCTAAGTCAACGAGATTATTCCCTGATGGTAGAAAGTCAATCCCTGAGTCGCTGAAGTCACCTTGGGGTTAAGTCCCTTAGTACATCTATGATGAAGTTGAATAGAAAAGGGGATAATGGGCATCCTTGACGGACACCACTAGTCGTCACCAGTTCAGATGACAACTCGCCGTAAGCCCTCACCTGGCTGTATAAGTACGAGTAGAGTGCCTTACTCAGTGCAATGTATTTTCTCGCCATTCCTTTTACAGCCAAGCATCTCCAGAGAACTTCTCGATCGACAGAGTCGAATGCTGCCTTTAGGTCAAGAAATATAATGACTGTTGGACGCCGGTAGGAATGACTATGTTCTAGAATCTGTCGGAGGGTGAAGATATGATCAATACACCCTCTTCCTGGTCTAAAGCCTGCCTACCTGGCTCTCTCATGTTTGTGCCTCCCGAGCACCACTCAGTCTACGCATGATTATTGAGCCTAAGACTTTAGATACTATATTAGTCAAGCTAATCCCTCTGTGATTATCACAGGAAGACTTGTCTCCCTTCTTGTATATGGGGAAAATCAGTGACTTACACCAACCCGATGGGACTTCTTCTGATTCCCAGACGCTGGATAGAACCTCAGTTAATGCAGACAGTAAACTGTCTCCACCTTACTTAAATACATCTGGAGTCATTCCATCAGGTCCCGCTGCTTTGCCTTGTTTCAGATTGGTGACAGCTTTAGTAAACTTCACACGCTGTGTGGCATAGGTGGTAACACCGAAGTGTAATGGACCCTAATATATTATATACGACTCATAGTCTAGTACAAAACGCATATGCAGAATGAAGAAATCGATTCATAGAAAAAAAAGATGAAAATATTTGAAAAACGCTTTCATTAACATAATTAATTGGTACAATTAAAAACAACCAATAATAATTAATTACCTTTGTACATTCCACTTTCTAATAATTGTCCACTACGTTCAAGTGCAAGAAATTGAGGCACATTCATAAAACGATAATGTACACCGTCTACTTCTTCTGCTCTAGGCAGTCGAGTTGTACCTAAATAATAAATAATAAGACGGAAAATATTGAAATGAATATTGATATGATTTCAAGTTATGGTGTGTGCTACTCATAAGATTTATCAGTAGTATATGAAGAGATGTTCATCGGTATAAAAATAACATCAAATAACAGAGACAGATATTTGATATCTCAGGAAGCAAATGATACACAGCTGCAGGGATACATTGGAGACGTGAAGGGGATGCGAAGGTCAGAAGTAGCACAACACGGAGGATCTGTGCAGATGGTGCGTTGAAGATAACCTGTACATAATTTGGCTACATAGAGATACTAAATTCCAAATAAACTTTCCTTACCAAGTCTTTTATCTTCTGCCGTTACAAAATGACCAGTTTTCAGACAATTGAAAAACTATTAATATGATAATAAGACAAACATTATGTCGTTTTTGATCAACCTGTTGGATACACGTTAAAATTTACATAAGAGTGCAGAAAAATAACAATAAGCACAAACTTTGGAAGACCCAATATGAATACACTAGACCCACCGTGACAGATTTCGAGTTCTAGGCTTAAGTGATAGGTAGAAGACCGGTAGTGAGAACCAACTCAAACTCTTCTTCTGGACAACGGTACGTAGTGGACTGTCACAAGGCACTGTACTTGGGGGCCTTTTTTATTTATTTTGTGTATCAATGAGTTAGCTATGCCCACCAACTCCCATATAGTCCTATTAGCAGATGACTTAAAAATTTGGAGGGAGCTGCTGAAGGGCGACAATGATACACTCATGTTGCACTGAGACCTTAACAAAGATAAAATGCTTCCGATCAACATAACGAAATCTGCAATCATGCTAATTTGACACTCACTCGTTAGCTCATGCAGACTAGAGGCAATAACACTCCCATCAGTTCAGACTCATATGGATCTAGATGTCATAGTAAGTCAGGACTTCAAAAATACAGCACACTGTTGCGTGATGGCAGGCAGTAGTTCGAGATCTTTATGGGAAGTTCGCAGAATCACCAAAAATACCCATTGAGTCATGGAGAAAATAAAAGACATTTCAGTGAAAAAAATTCTTTATCGGCCCAGACAAATCATCATGGAAAGTGGATATCCTTCAAGAATCATCGAGAAAAACATGAAGGTAAAGCAGTACGCCTAAAGAACCCGGACAGTGACGAAGAAACTACTATTTATGAACGCTGAATTTAAATATGATACTGCAGCTGAGATTCTGAAGAACTGCTTATCCAAATCACTGAGAAAAGCCTGCTTTTCGGTTGAGCTACGGATCAGTTTTTACAGTCAACAAATGATCAGTGGATATGTAAAGGATAAGCTGCCACTTTGGGCCACTTCAATGCCTGTCTATAAATTCACTTGTTCCTGTGGAGTTAGTTATACTGACTGCACATGGCACACACTTTAAGAACGCTTCTCCGAATATTATCCTGCATGGTTAGCGAGACGATAATGCAAGAGTTACTGGCTCAATTCTCGAGCACTTTGTGAACTCAAGCCACGTGGCCCCACCAGAGTCGCCTTTCATAATCATCTACAAAGTAAGGTCAAATGGTGCAAAAGACATTAGCTAGGTTTTCGTATTTGAATATGGGGAAGGCGTTGGGAATTCGTCAATACAACCCCGAACTCTGTATGCAGAAAAGGTTTGTTCAGACTCTTATTCTACCAGGGTCTTAACTTCTTTACTAATCGTTTCCTGTAAATTTTTTGAATTTTTAATGACTACTTTTATTTCAATAATTAATTTACTATTATCACTCTGTGTTTCTTTTCTATATTTTTTGACCCTCTTCACACTCGTTAAATGGAGACTCAACTACCTTTCTTTCCACTCATTGACAATTTTAACCTTATCAAATATCTAACGCTTTTGTCCTTTCCGCCGTTGAGTATTACGTAATTTATAGCTTTTATTTTTACTTTTGAGGAACTAGATCAATTGTCATCCCTATTAATCAACAATGGACTACTATACACTTTTTTGATTATTGTAAATACAACTCTACGGCCTCTGAAGATGATTTCATAGATAAATAAAATTTCTTCACCGAATTCGCAGAATGTTTTACTAAAAGTATCAGAGATATGTTCATCTCTTTGTATAAATCTCTGATGAGGTCAAAACTGGAAAACTGCATCCAGGAAGCCAGTCCTTGTCTTAAAGGAGACTCGCATATTGTAGAAAGATTTCAAACGACGGCAACACCTAAGATTCTTCCCATGACCAATTCGCCATACGAGGAAAGACTAGACAGCTTGAATCTCCAAAACTTGTCTTACCATTGGCAGAGGGGAGGTCTCATCACAATGTGTAAAATTTTAAATAATAGCTAAGGACCTGATCTGTCCTCTCTTCCTTTGTCCACCAGGTCTAAACACCTCAGAGGACATGGCAAGAGAGTTCGAAAGCCAACGAGAAACTGTATTGCTATGGAGTACTGGTTCTCACACCGAGTCATCAACTCCCAGAAGACGTGGTGTCAGCGCCCTCAATTGGCTTATTGCAGAAGGGTTTGGACAACCACAAAAATTTACTAGAACAGGATTACAATAGACTTCAAGCATTCCATCTTCAATCAACAAATCAGAGTCTGAAACACAAACAATAACTACTTTCTACTAATCAATTTGGAAACTTGTAGTCCTCTGTGCAAGACTTTAGTAAACAGAAAATTTGTTAAATTAACACTAATTCTTAGGACAGAACAAAACTTTAGAAAGTATATTATCGTCAGTGGGAATCAGGACACACTGTTATTAACTGTCGACGTGAACTGTAATGTTAATTCATCAACAAGTCAAATGAATATATGTCTGAGTAATTACGGCATTCCAAAACTGTGATTCTATCGTCCGAATACCGGTATCAAACACTACCTTTTATGTCTTTTTATTTAGTAAGAAACATCTATTATTAGACGCATAAGACAAATTTTTAAATTATTCAATAAAGTATCAACATCCATCGGACAAGAAGTGACTTAAATCAATAATAAGCATATCACACAATACCTCAACAAAGCCGCTTTGTGTGGTCCTAAGAATAAAAGGCAAACAGATCAACAGATAACAAGACAAATACTCAGAACTTCGTCAATCTTAGGATAGATAAATGATCATAGCGCTGCAGAATGAAGGAAGGAGGGTCTTGTTGGGTTAGCATTTGTTACTGCACCACGACTCCTTCCCTCTCTGATGGAGTTCGAAATATTATGGGACTACACGTCTAAAAACGTTATCAGACACATTTCAGGATGTAAAGGCAACAGTGAGCAGTTCTGTAATTTCCTTCTGTTTTAGATTTATAATGGTAACATGAAGTGACGAAGGCTTATTTTGAGTGTTTTTCATAAATAAGCTCAACTATTTTCATTACGTTATCTCTAAATTATTTTGTTCCCTTTTTCCTTATATTTTTGTGATTTCAGTTAAACAGATAATAAGTGGCCAATATATAACCTCCGTAACTAACTATACAATTCATCTAAAAAGAGCTTAGGGAATCTTGTTACTCATACCATACTCTAGAGTTGAAACGCTTGTAATATCACATTTTTATCAAGAAAACAATAAAATTGAACCGCCACAATAAAACAAGAATTACGCTAACAGACGAAAAAATCACTCACATGGAACTACACGCTGATACACATTCTCTCTTATTTTCTCTTGAAGAGCATATTCCGGTGAATCCATTGCAAATGAAATAGCTAAAAAACTTGACAACATTGTACTACTTGTTGCTAAAGCATGCGGTGGACTAAGATGTAGGCGAACATGCGATTGTGATTGTAAACAAGCAGTACACAATGTAATAGCATCACGTTTTGTATATCCTGAGAGTTCATAACCATTGATAGCTAAAATTATATCTCCAGGTTTCATACACTTTGAAGTATTATTATTGTTATTATTATTATTATTATCATTGACACCATGATAAATAATCCGAGATGGATCGAATTGAGCACCGATAACACAAAACATACCAGCATCTGAACCTCCATCAATCGGAAGAGTAGATGAATCAACATCAGATTTTGCAGATATAACAACTTCATAGCATTGTTCTAACCAACGATATTGTTTTGAATTTTGCTCACAATTCGCTTTTTGTAAGGAAGACACGAAATTTGCATTATGCTGTTTCGCCATTTCACTTTTCATGTTCTCTGCATTCCTTTTTAAATAATAAGAGTAGAATAATTGCATTTAAATAAACTATTTCAACACAAGTAGTGTAAAATGAGAAAAGGAAGCTGTCAACAATACAGCATCAAAATATTACAAGGAAATACTAAGGGGATTATAAGGGAATGAGAACTCCAAAGGATATTTAATAACCCAGTCGACTAGCTGTCTGGGTTGAAACACAATAACTATGTGTTTATCAAGAATACAACACAACAAAATGTTAATATAGATTGGGGTTGGTGTGATGGAGTTAGGATACCCTTAAGATTTCATTCGATGCTTTCATTTACAGTGCTGAGTTTCACAATCGTTATAGTTTAGATCATAGTAACGAAAATTACAGCTCGTTTGAGACAACTCTTCGGCATGTAAAGATACATAATACCTGAGGTAAGTGTCTGTTGGTCTAAATACCACAATTTACCTAGTGATATTCTCTTTTATTACATTTTACTTCATCAACTGACACAAGATGCGCAGCTCGGGCTACTATGTACTAATAGTAGATTTCATTTTGATAACATCTACCTAGCTGTGACAGTTGGCATTTATACTCTAGCAAAGTTTCCATACATTGAAAAAAGACCTCACGTAATGTTAGGTCATAAAATTATCTATCACCAAACTTCTTAACTTGCACTGAAGTTAACTCAGATTGCTTAACTTCTTCATTTCCCACCAACTTTCCAATTGACAACATTTTGAAGATTGTTTCGAAGGATAGTAATGGTGGAGTGCTGGTTCCGACAATACTGTTTGACAACTTGCTATTCAAATCGCATTTACTCAACAGATGAACGATATTATTCAAATGTACGTACTGCACCCTCTACATGGACAGTACTGTTACAAAACCGATAGTAACGTGTGATGACACGCCTTTACAGGTGGACTGTGAAAGTGGTCAAAATGTTCGCGTATTAAAATACGGTCATCTTTGGACATCAGTTATGGTTGCTTAGACATGTGTAACGGGGCAAAGTTCAACAATAGCGTCCCAAAGGATGCGAACGCATGAGTGACCTTCAGCCAACCAATCATAAAAATAAGGAATTTTTGCACAAAAAATGACGTATATTCAGAATAAAATACATGAAAACACATTAAACAGATTATCTTTCTCTGACATGACTCAAAAATACGTCCCAGTTATGATGAAGAGTATTAGTTACTAAGTTGGACTAGTTTCTACACATGTATTCATCGAAGTGACTGAAGATGTGCTGTTTTGTGAATCGTTCATCTCTCTTCTCTTTCTGTGCAGTCCTCTCCAAAGCCCTCGGTTAAATTACTATGGTTTCAGAAAGAGGATCGATGACTGCATACAAGGAAAATGAGGATAACAAAACAAATTGAAATAAACGACATAACTACAAATCTATCCCTAATCGCAACCCTAACCTTAATCCTGACTCTAACCCTAAACTTAACACAAGCCCCAACCTTAATCCTAACCTTAATGACAATTTGTATCCTGCCGTAAACCTAACCCTAATCCCAATTATGACCGTAACTCTAACCCTAACCCCAATACATAACTAAACCCTTATCCTAACCCTAACAAGATATTAACACACAGTAATTAAAAGCGTGATCTGGGTGAAGCTTGCTCCTTATTTAATGAATAGCGTTGATATTTCAGCTAAGATAACAAAAGGTGACGTTAGCCAACGACTAGCATGCGTTCAAGGTCACTGAAGCGTTCGCACTCCTGAGACGCTTTTGTTGAACTTCGCCCTTATGCACATATATGGTCAAAGTAACCACTGCAATAGCTTCCAGACAAACGGATCTCACCATTGACAATTTTTTCCGAGACTTGCTGGAGGAATGGTCAACCCATGAAGTGAAGAATGGTTGTGTTAAATTAGCATCTACTAATGTATCACGACTGATTTCAAAACGTTCCCAACCGTTCGTTTTTATACTGCCACTTTTAATAAGCCCGATACTATGTCTATTAATTCACTCTAGGTAGTTAAGGAAGACTAGTGTAATAAGTATAACATGGAAACACTTAGCTAATTAAATACCTATGTTAATCTATTTTTTTTCCTTCACGTTCATAGTGGAACATAGGGCTTCGAGCTAGTAGCTTGAAGTTTCTGTAGCAGTGGTGTTTATTTTAGAGGATGGGGTTGCTAGCTTCATGCCCAACCTTTCCTCTTTACCAGTATTAGCGACGTAAAGGAGTGCGTCGGCCGGGGATCGAACCCCAGACCATGTTCATGGTCGGCGAGCATCCCAACCGCTATGCCACCGACGCACCGCACGTTTATCTAGTTAACAGCTAACATGAATATTTATTGAGATTCCTAACACGTACAATTATTTTAAAGTAGATGCCTACATATGCAAACCACGTGCTAATTAAGTAGGAATATTCTAAACTACCAATAAGGGAAAATTATGTATGCTACGTACCTGCCTGCGTAATGCTGTAAATCGTTTTTTGATATCAATAAGTAGCATGAAGACCAAACCAAGCTAAACTAAAGGTGTCCTCTTAATTAGTTATATCATCTGAAACTAAGTGGTAGTCCAAAACCATACGCTAGAATGGTTGTTACAGTTTAACTTCGCCCTTCATCCTGTTCCTATTGTTTTTACTACAGAAATATGGTGTTTAACCTTGCAAAAACGTTTGGTGAACATGGGTGAAGACCTAAATGGAGCTAGCTGAAATCAAACCTGATGCCAATAAAAAAAATCCAACACCTATCAAGTAGATCAAAAGTTAACCAAATAACAAAGAATATGCAGTTTGAAAATCAAATCTTCGGTGAAGCTTAATCGTTCTTGTTACTTTCAACAACAATTAATATAAATACTTGGCAATTTAGGATGTCTAGTTTAAAGATGTATAATAAGCACAACTTACGAGGTGTGTAAAAACACCGAACTTTCAGGCGAGAACCTATCAGCGCCACTTGATTTTACCTTGAGGCTGACCCTGAAGTAACGTACTCCAACACAAGAAAACAAAGAGCATTGATGATCATCACTTGCTTTCACGCACAAAAAGGAAGATTGTGCCAGCTTAGAGATAAATTCTAATCTTATATGTTCTCACAAAGTCAAGTTTTCATCTCAGTTTTTAATTTCAGGAAAAACACTTTAGTGGCTACATTACATGATCTTGAAGAGGTTACTGCGCTTGATATGTTCCCTTATGAATTAGTCAGTGAATAAGGACATACTCTATATGTCACCCTTCAGTTATACCACCTATGACAATGAAGGCTGATTAATTCTGCCATCATTCCCTTAATTCGTGTGGAAAAATGACAACCTAAAGTAATCATGTCTGTCGGAGAGTCGTCATAGTTGTTCTGTTTCGATGCACCTTCCGAGACAAAAGGGCTAGTTTAGTTTCCCACAACCTTTGTTGCAGTTTTCCTCCATTTTTCTCACATATTTCGTTTGATATTTTCGAATTAGTATTAACAGATCTAATATTATTATTCGGGAGAAATTATTATCGTTAATGATGCTTTCCTTTGTACGTTTGAGGCATGTCTCCCTCAGCCAACGGAAAGTTGTGAAAGGCGCGAGCCAAGCCAGTTTCAGTAGACAGTGCGGTACATTGAATACTACTAGTAAGGCCTTGAACGTAGGGCACAGTGTATTCGCTCGCGTTGGGTTGCTCACTTAGGGCGTGGGATTCGGTTTAAGGAAACCTGGATTTCACATATCCTTATGATTTGAGTGACATTGTAGTACCCATATACCAACTGTAAACATGCTTTTTAATCTAACTTGTATACTTGTATTATATGTGTATACAGACCGATTTTATGTGTACTTCGCAAACATTTGTCAATTTACTGTTGAACATTACCTTGACACAATTTCAAATTTGACTACTGCTACAATACACATTGGTAATCCTCGTAAGTGCCCTTCTGATTTACGCTGTGGGCGTCGAGTAGCCACAACGTCTGCGCACATGAATAAGAACGAAGAAATACTAGAATATATGTGTACGGAAGTTTAGTCAGACAACGCACGCAACAAAATTGGTGAGCCCGACGACAAATTGGTGTCCTTGACGATAACTGGTTCACCCCGATGACAAATTGTTGACCCCAACGACAAATTTCTACCCCCACAACAAACTATCCATCGCGACGACAACTTTTTCACCTCGACGATAACTTGCTCACTGCGACGATAACTTGTTGACTCCAACGATATTTTGTTAACCGGTACGCATCATTACACTTGCTGGATTATTTAAACTCTAACTTTATCGGATATATATATATACATATATATATATATATATATATATATACATATAATAGACATTTCGAACTCATTCTTGTGCTTTCTCATCGCACAACTTGCAATAATCTGTGGTAAGCATCTGCATTGCATGTTTTTCTGTTTTGCCATATTCTTAGTGTGCATAATTTTTGCTATTTTGTTACTGTTAAACCATTTTCTACGAATCGTATCATGTCTTCCAATACCTCTAATAACTTAGAGCTGGGATCTGTTAGTACCATTTCTCTTACTGTACCAGTTTTTAGGCCCAGAGACCTTCATCTTTGGTTTGCACGACTGGAACATTATTTCACTGCCAATAAGCTGACATCACAGACGGCTAAATTCGGCATATTGAGTACAGTACTACCAGACGAAATCGCCGAACAGGTTCGATAACACATAGTTCAACCCAGCACAGACGCTCCTTACGACAAGTTGAAGGAAGAGGTACTTCGATGCACTTCGCTTTCTGATAGGCAAGCACTCGATCATTTGTTAAGCAATGTTGAGCTAGGTGATAAAACCCCATCGCAACTCATGAGGCATATGAAAAGCCTAGTAGCAGGAATAGATATCGACAAACGTCTCTTTTACCAAATTTGGTTGCGACGACTTCCTGCAAACATTCAGCAAGTTCTTGCCTTTGGAGACGACGACATTGACATAGAAAAGCTCGCCAAATTTGCGGATCGCATGTACGAGAGGTCAACACCTCAATCTATTGCTTCCACTAGCAGAATACCAGACACTCACGATAGGATACAGACTCCAGAACACAAAGTCAACACTTTACTGAGTCAGTTAGCAGCACTGACCACACACACACGACGAGGCCGTTCTAGAAGCTCGTCTCGTCGACGTCTTTCTCGGTCACCTAGCACGTCACGACATCACGATACCATTTGCTGGTACCACCGTAGTTGCGGAAGCAATGCACGACAGTGTCGTTCACCTTGCAACTTTCAGGCTAAATCAAAAGATGTATCATCATGTATGAAAACTTCTACTGTCGGAAATCTACGGTCTAGCAGTCGTTTGTTTTATGTAACAGATAGAAATACCGGTACTACGTTCTTAGTCGACACAGGAGCAGAGGTTAGTGTTCTCCCTCCATCTACGCAGGAACGTCAACATCCTGACCCTGCAGTTACGCTCCAAGCCGTTAATAAGTCTAATATTGTTACATATGGTAGTAAACGAATGACTTTAGATTTTGGTCTGCAGAATACCTACAATTGGTCTTTCATCATCGCAGACGTTCCATCCCCAATCCTTGGCATAGATTTCCTACAGCAACACAAACTGCTAGTTGATCTGGTAAGCCCTAAGCTTATAGACTCGCTCAACAAAAAGTACATCGCTGGTACGATTAGCCGTGCATCATCCCTGAACTTGATGGTCACACGCACACCAGCATCTCCATATACTGACTTAGTAAATCAGTTCCCTGACCTTCTAAAACCCTCTTTCCAAGCAACAGAACTAAAGCATCAAGTGGTTCATCACATTAAAACCACTGGACCACCAGTTTTCGCACGTCCTCGACGCCTTGACCCACATCGATTTAAAATCGCAAAAACAGAGTTCGATAAAACGTTAGAGCTCGGCATTATTCGACCATCCAACAGCTCTTGGTCTTCATGGCTGCACATGGTACCCAAAACGTCTTCAGGTGAGATACGATCATGCGGGGATTATCGAGCTTTAAACAAGCAAACGGTACCTGACCGATACCCCATACTGCATATTCACGATCTCGCCAGCAACTTGCCAGAGGTTAAAATTTTCTCCAAAATTGACCTTGTCAGAGCGTACCATCATATTCCCATCCACCCGGATGACGTTCCAAAAACCGCTATCACCACGCCATTCGGCTTATACGAATTCGTGCGCATACCTTTCGGGCTGATGATCGCCGCTCAGACATTTCAACGTCTCATCGACCAAGTACTCCGCGGCCTGCCCTTCGTCTACGCATACATTGACGACTTACTAATTGCAAGTGCAGACGAAATCGAGCATGTGAAACATGTGAAGACGGTGTTCGAAAGACTTCACAAATACGGCATGACTATCAATTTAGATAAGTGTGAATTTGGTAAGAAATCACTGAAATTCCTCGGTCACTTGCTTGACAATCAAGGAATTGGACCAGTCCCCGACGATGTGCAAGGCATCAAAGACTATCCATTACCAGATTCTTTCAAGAAATTACGGCGAATTTTGGGTGTAGTCAATATTCACCGGCGTTTTATCCCGAACTGTGCTAGAGTCTGGCAACCGTTGACCGATTGCTTGCGTGGACATAGTTGTCAACCACGTCTCGTAAACCGTCAATGCCCAGCTCTTGCTACGCTCCGGCTCACGCTGTTCCTTGAAGTTTCTCAGAAACGCTTAATAATAACGGACGCTAAAACCAAAACACCGATTGGCGACTCGAGGATTATTCATTATAACATTAACATATCAATCTAATCCAATTTGAACGCTTGCGCTACGGGTGTTCACCTTCTGCGTGAATCATCTTTCCTTAATATTTTGGAAATTAGCCGCTTTCATCACATTGTCCAGTTATCCATAGTCAACAAGGATTGTATTGTATCAACTGGAACAACATATAGCATTCACTCGTGAAATCTACGTCAAGAATCCTCGGATACCATATTTAACTACGTGGAACTCAGGACTTTATCCACAGCAAACTCTGTAAAGGAAAGTCTGACTTTTTATTTTTGCAATATAAATCTGTTTATCGTTGTTGTTTTGATACTTCGATAATACAGCTATCTTATTTTCATATCCTCAAATTACAGCTCGTTTGAGACAACTCTTCGGCATGTAAAGATACATAATACCTGAGGTAAGTGTCTGTTGGTCTAAATACCACAATTTACCTAGTGATATTCTCTTTTATTACATTTTACTTCATCAACTGACACAAGATGCGCAGCTCGGGCTACTATGTACTAATAGTAGATTTCATTTTGATAACATCTACCTAGCTGTGACAGTTGGCATTTATACTCTAGCAAAGTTTCCATACATTGAAAAAAGACCTCACGTAATGTTAGGTCATAAAATTATCTATCACCAAACTTCTTAACTTGCACTGAAGTTAACTCAGATTGCTTAACTTCTTCATTTCCCACCAACTTTCCAATTGACAACATTTTGAAGATTGTTTCGAAGGATAGTAATGGTGGAGTGCTGGTTCCGACAATACTGTTTGACAACTTGCTATTCAAATCGCATTTACTCAACAGATGAACGATATTATTCAAATGTACGTACTGCACCCTCTACATGGACAGTACTGTTACAAAACCGATAGTAACGTGTGATGACACGCCTTTACAGGTGGACTGTGAAAGTGGTCAAAATGTTCGCGTATTAAAATACGGTCATCTTTGGACATCAGTTATGGTTGCTTAGACATGTGTAACGGGGCAAAGTTCAACAATAGCGTCCCAAAGGATGCGAACGCATGAGTGACCTTCAGCCAACCAATCATAAAAATAAGGAATTTTTGCACAAAAAATGACGTATATTCAGAATAAAATACATGAAAACACATTAAACAGATTATCTTTCTCTGACATGACTCAAAAATACGTCCCAGTTATGATGAAGAGTATTAGTTACTAAGTTGGACTAGTTTCTACACATGTATTCATCGAAGTGACTGAAGATGTGCT